GGAATTTGTAGATAGGATCTAAGGTTTTTGAGGTTATGTGTAGAGACATGAGAGAGGAAGTCACGAGCCATAGCAACTTCTACGAGTCATAGGTCTATGTTCTTAGAAGTGATCAAAGATATGAGCTCCAGTACTGGGTTTACGAGGTGACAGGATGGACCGTGCAAAGTTTTAAACACCGTAGGTCCTATCCGTAGAAAAGATCCTGGTACATGATTGGAAACTACCTTCACAAGAGGGACTCCACGAGCTATAGGAAATGCTATGACCCATAGATTATGGGTCGTTGAAGCCACTGTCGAATCATATTTTTCTGGAAGTTTTGTAAGTTTATTTTGAGTATGATTAGTTTTCTATAAATACTCTTGGTATGTTTTATATTTGGGAGTTCCACTTTTTGGTTTGGAGAATTAAGTTGTGAAACACTTTTTCATTTGATTCTTGAATCCTTTCATTTATATTATATCATTGATCTTCATCATTACTTTTCAATTTCATTTCAAGATTCCGAAACTCAACTACACTAATTGTAAGTTCATGATTTATCTTAACCAAATTACTATGAATTGTGATCACCCAAGCATGAGTAGCTAATTCCATAACTGGGGTTGTGAGAGCCATGAGAAATTAACAAATAAGGCCTAATAACTAGTAATTCTTGAATAGTATTTATGCATCTATTGTTTTTCTCTTCACTTTGATTTCTTTTTAATGAGGGGCCACTTTAGAACTTGCCTTATTCCTACTCTCCGGACCAAGGGATAACAAATGGGAAAAGAGATTATGAAACAGATATTTGAGGCTACCAACCATCTCTATTAGCTTGAACGAACCAAGGGATAGCTAATCTTCGATCAAGGGGTAAGGGTTAGTAAAGCATACACTAGTAGACAGACCAATCTGCATGGTGAAATCCACTTATTTAGGGGACCAACCACTTAGGTGATGCCGAACTTACCAACTTTTCATGCTAGATAAAACAAGGTTATTAATATCTGGTTTACTGTGTTAAGGACTTATGGGGAATTCTATTAATTTTTACAAACATAAATCATGTTTATTTTGTTACTTGTTACTACAATCATTACATCAAGTTTTTGTTTCACACTCCCCCTTTTTACAAAAATAACTTGACCAAAAGTACAATCAACAGACAATTACGCTAAGTCTAGATCTTATTCCTTGTGGTATCGACCCTAACCTCTGTTAGGTTCTTTATTCGAACAACTACCGCTTATACTTCTTTTTGGAGGTGCAATTTGGGCGTATCAAATTTTGGTGCCGCTGTCGAGAAATAATGCTTTTAGATTAGACTAATTGTGTTATTGGACTGTTAGTCATTATTTCCTGATTTGCATTTTTTTTGTTCTTGTTTCTTACAGGTTAAGTTCAAGTGTTTTCAAAGTACACGGAGTCAAGGAATTCCCTTAACCCTATGTAATCCAGATCTCAATAGGACTCTTCGACGTATGGCCAACACTGATATGGCCAATATGTTGGGCTAAACGAACCAATTAGAATTAAACAAGAGGATGGCCACGCAACTCAACACGAAGGTGTAGAAGAGGTATAAGGAATAACTAGAGTAACGCATGGATAGTGCGAGTGAAACCTCCACCCAGAGCAAGACCATCAGCTAATGTGTGAAACACCTACCGTGTTGATCATAATGTTATTGGAAAAACAAGTGCCATCATATCTACTCCACTACTAGTCAGATCAATGTTCATTATTACCTGCAGCTTGATGCAAATGCTTACATCTTGAGGACCCAAATACCCATCTTAGCAAAGTTATAAGCATTTGTATGAGTAGTGTGGGGAGGGACATATTTAGACTTGGATGTCATCGGGCTGCATGTGTTTCGATTATCATGTCACACCCCCAACTAGAAAGGGGCACACATCAAGGATATAAAAAAACACTTGCTATTTTTCTATACTAAACTCATGCCAAAGTTATGGACTCATAAGCACCAGAACCTATATTAAGACACATACTAAAACATATATAACAAAAGGTCCCACTGGGGTACTTTACAACGGAAACAAAACTAAGTCTAAGAAGTCTCTAAAGAGTATGAACCTGAGAACCTGATAACTATTCGGGACAGGACCCCGACATACACATTCTGACATATGTACATACATAAAAAAACCGTAGGCTCTAAATATCTGATAGCTCCTAGTAGAGGTGGAGCTTACAAACTGCTAAATTGGAAGTCTCTGGTCTACTCGAAATGTTTGTTATCTTGAGGACCTGAGCCTGTAGTGATAGAAATGAAGTGTCACAATAATAGGGACGTCAGTACATATAACACATGTACTGGTATGAAAAGCAGACTGAATAACAAGTAGACATGTAAGAATGCAATAATACATAAAATATCAAGATAGGCAAATCTGAGCATATGTATGCGGGAGACATAATCCAAAACAGGAACTTGACAAATCTCAAGGGTCCACATCTAACATTTCATGGCTTATTCATTTATATATACAGAATTCCTATAGTTTGCCTGGTGATATTTTTACTTTATTATATAGCTTCTTTGCTCTTTGTAAAACTAACTGTCAGGGAATCACATGATAACCTACTATCGGTGATTAGTAAACCTTGTATGGCATTTGTAGCCCATTGTCACAACCACGCGTGAAATCTCATAGTTTGGGTAACGAGGTCTATCAAGGTACACCCCCAGGGCTCCTGTATGTTCTGTTCGCAAGCTTGTATCAGTCAGGTGAATCCACGAGGGGAAATTCCAGGTGACTCTATCTGAATTATATGCACATAATAGTGTCGTACGTGGTAGCCTTAAAAATACCCATCCCACGCTGCAGAGTAGGCTATACTCGTAATTTCATGAAAAGGCTTATATTATTGAATTCATAAATCATATAACTCATGATAAAATTTGTGATTACTCTTTTTTAGCTTGAGAGTCATACATTCTTTGACCTATACACTTACGAATAATCTGTGGCCAACTTTTTCCTTTAAATTTATGCAACATGTACACCCGCTACTTCTATGAGTTTTAACCGAAGACACATATAGGTATGTGAAACATATGCCTTCCTTGACCAGAAAAGAGTACTATAATTCTAAGGTTTAGGACTACAACATGAGAGGGTTTATAAAATAGTATAAGTTGCATTCAAGTATCATATAATCTCTGATGATATTTATCGGAAGAACATGCGATTTTAGGTTGTGCCTTAATGGTGAAAGAGATTTCAGCTTTACATACCTCACTTCGGGACTTATTATCTTCACTACACCATTTTAGGCCTAAGGCTACACTAAATCTGGACAACACTTGAAAAGTGTTGCCTAAACTATTTTCGAATACGCTTTCAAAGCGTAGTCTTAGTAATTAACTTTTGGCCACAGAAACTTTTGACAACATTTCTCAAACGTGCTCTTTAATATTATAGACTACGCTTATAAATGTAGCTAAATGATTTAATAATTAGCAACATTTATTTACATATATGGTTACACTTTTAAGTGTGGCATTTCTATAATTCTAAAAACCACACTTAATAAGTGTGCTCTAATAATCTTTAAAAAAATTCAACCCAAATAATTGAATCCCACCGTATATCTAAATCTCCCCCTAATTTCTAAAAAGCTGAATATTAGGGTTTTCATAAAATCTGCCAACACTGAGAGGCGAGATTGATTTCTCTGGTAAGTTCTTCTTTGTGAAATTGATTATGAGATAACTGCTACAAGGAATAAGGCTACATGGAAATGACCTCTTCTCGGTGAAATTGGTACTGTCATTTTTGGCGAATTTCAGCTAAAATGGGTTAACTCTGCTAGTTGAAGTGAGGTTTCTTCGGTAAGCACTTGTTTTCCTCTTCTTGATTTCTCTAGTTTATCTCTTCATGTTACAGTGAATATTTATTCTTGATTTCTCCAGCTTTATTTGTATGTGTTTCAGCGAGATTTCTCTTTTTTTTTCTTCTTGTTTCTAAGAATTAATGACTATGCTTAACGCCATGTAAATAGAAGTTGTAGAAATTCTTTTAAAATTTGGTCAAAGAAAGAATTACCGGTCTTTGCCTAAATCTTAAATGGTTTTTCTTTGCCCAAATCTTTATTGCATTTCTCTTTCCCCAAATAGTAGTTACAGTCCTCAGATTTTCTTTCTCGGTGAGTTTCTAGTTTCCTTGTTAATGCCCAAAACTGAGATTCGCTGATGTTTTTTATTTGGTTTTTCCAATTTATTACCTGTTATGAAAGTCTTTGCATAAATGAATTTGATTTTTAATGTGTTGAATATGAAATTATTGCTATGAAATGCGAGCTTTGTTCCACTAGATATTATTTCGTGTCTTTTGGATTTCTGCATTTGAGCTCAAAATGGTTACCTATAAGGTCTGCATACACAATATTCCTTGTAGAGTCGCTAATGAGATTATACAGGGTATGTTGGTGGTGGTTGAAAGGCATCAAAATATTCTAAGAAAAATGTAAATTTATTTTTTTGGAATTTACTGATATGTTGTTATTTGTCCGTCTGTTATTTATGAGGTACACATGTTTTTTCTAGATGATATAAATAGGTCAATGGTTACAGACTTATATATAAAACTGAGTTCATAAAGTGTAGTGCACTTTCAAACTATTCATGGAAATTCCAGTTTGATTAGAGAAGAAGGCGGTCGAAGGTGGGTGGGGGTGTTTTCTGAGTGGTGAAATGTACTTGTAAATGAGCATTGTTTGTGCCAATGTCGGCTGTTGGTTTGACTTGGGATACTTGTCTATCAATTTATAAGATCGTTTAGCAAATCGATTAGTTCATTAACCATAGGTGTTTTTGGCAATATCATGAAGAATTGTCATCCTCATTTGATACTTTTTAAGATGGAATATTACTATTTATAAACTAGTTATTTTATCAAAGTTGTTGATGTTGTTTAATTTTGCAACAGCCTGCAGTTTACATAGCAGAAAATGTTATAAGCTCTAGAATAGATGGTACTTGACCCGATGCAGCAGAGAACACCGTAGCTATTGCAGCTGGGTAAGCTTAATCTCTGGTGCAGCTAGTTCATCGATTCTCCTTCAAGTTGGGAAGAACTCGCCTTCTCCGATACAAATAGTGGAGTACTCGGGACCATCACTTAGCTACTATATCAACAAGCTTAAGCCCATGAAAGTAGTCCAAACTTCAGTAACCGAGACACCAACTGCACCAGAAGTTTATGGTTTACAAGCTTTAGTTGCAGCACCAGAAATAGAGGCATTGAATGCACCAAAAATTGAAGCAATAAATGCAACAGAAGTTGAATTCTCTAAGCCAGAAGCTCCAGCTCCCCAAGTTGAGGTACAATCAAAAATCCTTCCGTACACTTCAAGTTCAAGTTCTAACATCTCTTAGGACAAATCATTTTGTCTTTTTGTATATTTTATTTGTAGATAATCTTGTATACATATTTCAGTAACTTTTTGTATTACTATTATTCAAAAAAGAACTAATGTGCGTTTTAAAAAACAATTATGAATTCGTAATTGAGTTACCTCAATAATCATATCTCCATATGAATAATCTCTTCACGTACACATTGAACTATCAATATTACTAATGTACTAATCCAATTTATTATCAGATTTCTAACCAAAACTAGCTTCATTTGTTTGTTTGTTTGTTTGCCCCTTGTAAATCGGATTCTACAGAATGTCCAGGAGACATGTTTGTATATTTTCGTTACCGTATTTCAGAACATATTAAGTCAATTTTACCCTTGTGTATGTATGAAGCGAGTGATATTTTATATTTACAGGTGTATAATGACCTACTACTATTGATGTGGTTTGTTCCTGTGACTTGTATGCAAACTTTAAGCTGATTCTTCTTTTCTCAGTTGCTGGTTAGTGTAGGAGGAGACGATGGTATTTTGCGTGAGGTATCTTATCATTATTTTGTCGAACATGTTGATATATGTAAGATTGACAAGATGGCAATCGAGGTAAGCATACTCTTAAATGCTAATGTTTGTTCATAAAAATGTATATTTTGGTCACCATTGACATTTTTCATCTCCTCTAAGGGTAGAGGAACGTTATTGATTCTTCTATTTACATGTATTAGTAGTTTCTTATGTCATAGTTTATCTTATCAGGAAGTGCTACTTTTCAGGTCCATCCCAAGAGTTGTGTGTAAAGTCTTTCTTTGAAACTATAGCAAAGGCTCTTCGTCCAGGTTGCAGGCTGAGGGCATATGGATTTACATGCACATAATTAGAGAATTGTTGCTCATTTCTTTCATATCTTCAATGGCTCAGTTAACTATGCATGGACTACTGCTCCGACTTATCCAAGGTAACATGGCAACTCTATTGCTTATCTTTAACCAAGAGTGTTTCGAATCCTTGTTCTTGCTTGTTTTCATTTTTTTTAATTGAATGGTGTTGTGTGAAAAAAAAATAGTTTACAATAAATAAAAGGGTTTGAGCAAAGTGATTATCTTGATTAATTTTAGTTTGAGTTTCTCTTTTGTTGCCATTTCTGTTCTATATGTGCATGTACTTGTTATGGTAGTATTTTCTGTTTTAAAGGTTTCAATAAGCTCTCACAATAAATTACAGGAAGTACTATTTGTGATCAATAATTAGAGAAAAATATGAAGGTCTGAGTATATCTTATTCTAACTTAGGTCTTTACTTATATTTAATTATTTAAACTTAGTAATTTTCCTGTATGTCTCGAGTAAATTTAAATTACTTGGAACGAATAGTTACTTAAGTAAAGGTAAGTGGCATGAACTGAAAAACTTGGGGGATTTGAACATGTTTTGAGCATCCATTCAACCTAAATAGTGATAAATTGAATAATTTATTGTATGGACGAATATCATATATGTTTTAGAAACCTTTAACAATAGTTAACTGAGTGGGCAGTGGTGTTTTAATTCTATTTTGGTCGACTATGTGTTTGCAAGATGTTTATGGATCATAATTAGTCTGCGGCCCTTTTAAACTAATAGAGATATGTGTTAGTCATGTTTTCGAGCTGGACTAAACATCATAAGCACTTATAGTTTTGTTTTGCTTGCCTACTTTAGATGAAGACCACTCTGTCTTCATAGTTTTTGAACATGGAAGGTTAATAACACTTTTTGGTCAATGTTGAACCTTGTCCCTAGTGTTGGATAAATTCTACACATTGTTAGCATCCTAGTTTTAGATTAACACTTTGTATAAGAGCTGAACTGGGCTAAATACTCCTTTTAGTCATTTATTTACTTGTAACTATGCTCCTTGTTCCTTTCTAATAAAACATATGAGAAAGAGAGGATTAGTGGTGAATACTCCTTTTAGTCATTTATTTACTTGGAACTCACCATACCTTCTAGACCAATTTATGTTGGGATAGACTGTCATACGGAGTCTGCTAGTATCTTTAAAGACCAGGAATTTTGACTCTTGCACTGCTTAGACTTTTTTGCCTCCATATTTTTGCATATCACCTGTTCTTCTAGAGGAATATGTCTGTGAGTAATGCCCAAGGAATCTGAAAAGAATTTTCCAGATATAATTGGCAAAGTGCCCAGACACAAAGACGTGATCAATTGAATATGTTCCAAGTTTGCTACAACAAGAACAAACTGCAGGTTCTCTTCCAAAAGTAACAATTCTTTCCTCCTTGCAATTGCTATTTGGTGTTAAGAATAAGGGGAATTAGTAGTGGTGGGGCATGTTGGCTTACCAACGTTTCATTCAATTGTCCTTCTCTGATAAAATGTGACACAGTGAGCAATATCCTGCTGCAATTTGCACCATTGGAATATTCTCTAATGCGCCTAATAATGGACGGGGTTCCAGATCAGTTTGCTTAGTTTGATGACCAAGTTTAGCTTCATTTCCCCAAGAGAATGTATAAACCCTTCCTTCTTTTGATAATACGGCAGTGAAGAAATTCCCATGTTTGTGATGAACTTATTACATGTTTTTTTATGCATTTGTATGTTTTCCTATTGTTTTCTTCCAGATTTTATCATTCATATTGGGTCTCTGCTTTGTACATGTTTGGGATCATTTAACTGTTTGCCTACTGTTTTCTCCCAGATTTATTTTATCATTCATATTTGCCTACTGTGACAGTCTTGGAATACATGCCCTATTGTTTTCTCCAAGATTTTATAGTTTTTGTACATATTTAGGGATCATTTAACTGTGAAGGGGTTGGGAAAGGGCTGGGAATTGAACAATATAGTGAGCATATGAAATACATGATTCTCTAACTTATAATTTACTTTTGAATGTGCAGGAAAATACCGTTGATTGAATTTGATGAATAGAGGACAAAAGTAAACTCGATCTATTGTAGTGAACGATAAATAGTTTTTGTACTATATATTATCATAAATGTTGTTTGAATACATTTGATTTTGTGGAATGTATGTATTGCTAGTAGAGATCTTTAAGCAATTGCTTTCTATATGGATGGGACATGTTCTCGAAGTTTGTTTAATTTGAAATTTATACTTTCAAGTATAATCAGATAAAAGTGTTGCTAATGAAATACTCCTAAGCGTGGCCTATATATTTCTTTGGCCACGCTTTTTAAGTGTTGCTGCTTTGGCGACACTTCAAAAGTGTGGTCTAAAGTCAAAGGTTACGCTTCTTTAGGCCACCCCCTAAAAAGTGTTGCTTAAAGTCAAAAAGTGTGGCCTTTTATCAAAGGCCACACTTTTTGCTAGTTTAGGCTACACTTTACTGGGGTGGCCGTAGGCCTAAAATGGTGTAGTGCTTACGTCGTCAAACTCCTTTCTTAACAACTTTATCTACAACATAACACTATAAAAGGTGACTCTACCAGAGGGTTCAGATGGTTATGTGATCTATTGTGATGCATCCAGGGTTGGCCTAGGTTGTGTGTTGATGCAGCGAGGTAAGGTTATAGCTTATGCTTCTAGAAAACTTAAGGTACATGAGAAGAATTATCCGACTCATGACCTCGAGCTTGCAGCAGTGGTGTTTGCACTCAATCTTTGGAGACACTACTTGTATGGTGTTCATGTAGATGTGTTCACAGACCATAAGAGCCTCCAGTATGTATTCACCCAGAAAGAGTTGAATCTTCGCTAGAGAAGATGGCTTGAGTTCCTCAAAGATTATGATATGAGTGTGCATTACCATCCGGGTAAGGCGAATGTAGTAGCAGATGCTCTTAGCAGATTATCTATGGGTAGTGTAGCACATGTTGAGGAAAAAATAAAAGAGCTAGTAAAGGATGTTCACAGACTTGCTTACCTAGGAGTTCGTCTTATGGGCATATCAGATGGTGGTGTAACGGTTCAAAATAGGGTAGAATCTTCTTTGGTAGTAGAGGTTAAGGAAAAGCAAGACAGTGATCCAATCTTGCTTGAACTTAAGGGTGCAGTCCACACTCAGAGAGTGGAGGTTTTCTCCCAAGGGGGAGATGGTGTACTTCGCTATCAGGGTAGATTGTGTGTTCCTGATGTGGTTGAATTGAGATAGCATATTCTTGCAGAAGCCCACAATTCCAGATATTCTATTCATCCAGGCGCCACTAAGATGTACCGCGATCTGCGGGAAGTCTATTGGTGGAATGGTATGAAAAGAGATATAGCAGATTTTGTGGCTAAGTGCTCTAATTGCCAGCAAGTCAAGGTAGAACATCAGAAACCATGAGGTATGACTCAAGAGATTGACATTACCACTTGGAAGTGGGAAGTGATCAACATGGACTTCATCACAGGTTTACCTCGTACTCGCAGACATCATAACTCCATTTGGGTGATTGTTGATAGGGTTACTAAGTCTTCTCGCTTTTTGGTGGTTAAGACTACATATTCGACAAAGGATTACGCCAAACTTTACATTAATGAGATTGTGAGGTTGCATGGGGTTCCTTTGTCTATCATCTCAGATAGAGGTCATTAGTTTACCTCTCATTTCTGGAAGTCATTTCAGAAGGGTCTTGGTACTCAGGTTAACCTTAGCACAGCATTTCATCCACAGACGAATGGTCAGGCAGAGCGTACCATTCAGACCTTAGAGGACATGCTGAGAGCTTGTGTGATCGACTTCAAGGGTAGTTGGGATGATCACCTTCCTCTTATTGAGTTTGCCTACAACAATAGTTACCATTCCAGTATTCAAGTGGCCCCTTATGAGGCATTGTATGGGCGTAGATGTAGATCTCCAGTTGGTTGGTTTGAAGTAGGTGAAGCAGCCTTGATAGGACCAGATTTAGTCCTTGATGCTATGGAGAAAGTGTAACTCATTACAGATAGACTTAAGACTGCCCAGAGTCACAACTCATTAGAGATAGACTTAAGACTGCTCAGAGTCGCCAGAAGTCTTATGCAGATGTGAGAAGAAGGGAACTAGAGTTCCAAGTTGATGATTGGATTTTCCTGAAAGTGTGACCTATGAAGGGGGTGATGAGATTTGGCAAGAAAGGGAAGCTCAGTCCTAGATATGTAGGCCCTTACCGGATCTTGAAAAGGATTGGTAAAGTGGCTTATGAGTTAGAGTTGCCAGCAGATTTAGCAGCAGTGCATCCAGTCTTTCACATTTCTCTTTTGAAGAAGTATGTGGGTGATCCAGCATCCATAGTGATATTAGAGAGTGTGACCATGAAAGATAGTCTCTCATATGAGGATGTACCAGTTGAGATTCTCGATCGTCAGGTTAGAAGGTTGAGAAATAAAGATGTCGCTTCAGTGAAGGTTTTGTGGAGGAGTCAGTCCGTAGAGGGAGCTACTTGGGAAGCAGAAACAGCCATGAAGTCCAAGTATCCCCACCTCTTTCCTTCCGATTCCATTCCAGCTTGAGGTAATAGTTCCTCATCAGTTTTTCAGTCATTCATGCATAAATTCAGTCTTAGAATCATGTTCCTTCAGTTTGTACTTGCATTTTTCAGCGTATTTGCATGTCCTTGGAACTCAGTTCAGTCAGAAATTTAGTTGTCAGTGTTTAGTGGTAGGGATTGCAGCCCTCTCCCTTCATTTCAGCTAGTTTAGTTTTCATTCGAGGAAGAATGGTCCCAAGGGGGGAGATAATGTAACACCCCGTATCCGAAAATAGACCAGATTACAGATTTTTGGTGTTGTAGATGGCACTCACGGCACCATCCACGGACCGTAGGAGGACCCACGGTCCGTCCTGCAGGTCCGTGGTTCGGGTCAGTAACTCCCCAAACGCAGCCAGAATTCAGCTAAGTGTTGACCCACGGCCGGACCTACGGTCCGTAGGTCAGGTCATAGACCGTGGTTCGTATCCGTGGATCGATGGCCCTAAAGCCCAGCTTCAGTCCCGATTTATGGTTGACCAGCATGGACCGTCATTCGATGCACGGTCCGTAGGTCTGACCGTAGGTGAGGATAGCAGCCAGTTAGATGAAAATTGTGATTGGGTCAACTTCAGATGGTCATAACTCTTAGCACAAAAGGAATTATGTGTCCCATGACCTATGATATGATAGATAATTGAATCCTCTTTCCAACTCCACCAAGTTTGCTAAAATCCGACCTCTGAGTAAAACGTTATGCTCGTTTTAGTGAAGCCCTGCCAGGTATAACGCCACCGAGTTTGCTAAATTCTGACCTCCGAGTAAAAAGTTATGCTCGTTTTAGTGAAGCCCTGTCGGGCAGACTTGACCGACGATCTCAACCTACGGACTGAAGATGGAATGACAGCCCGTCAGTCCCGTCCGTCAGTCACTCCGACAGCAATTAAGTTAGGGGACTTTTGGTCTTTCCCTATTTCATTGAATCCCTAAGATACGTCGTTTAGACCCTAAATCATGAGGTTTTAGTCAGTTTAAGCCTAGAAACATAACTAGAACTTACCTAAGTCAAATAATTATTCAAAACTTAGAAAATTAGACGCAAGAGAGGAGAAAAAGGTCAAGAACCCTAATTCAAGAACACAACAAGGTTCAATCAGTTCAATCCCCAAAATCGAAGGATTTCTTCGTGGAATTCATCACCAGGTATGTGGGATTTCACTAGTGGGTTCCTTTCGCCCATTAGGTCCTTAGAATTCAGTCAGATTCTTGATTCCATGATTATAAACAGACCTAGGGTTTCTAGAATTTCAACAGATCATCATGAATTAGTTATTTAAATGTTCCAAATCAGATTATCATGTTATTTCTCAGTTTATTGCATGAATTCTAGAACCCTAGCTATGTATTTCTTTAGTTCTTGGATTACACATGCTAGGTCAAATATTTCAGTCATTTAGTTATACATGCCTCATTTATTAATGCATCATTATCAAATTAATTGTTGCATTCTCAGTTTGAATGTTCAGTCTTGAGCTATCCAGTATTTACAAAAATTCCGTCATAACAAGTTAACCACTTAATTCATTGGGAGTAGCATAATAACCGAGTTAAACTAGGGTTTAGCGTACCCATATAGTCCCAGAACTATGAGACACGTAGATGTAAGTCCCCTCTGTAAGCAACATCAGTTTAGTGATCACGTCAGCATGCCTCTATACCTCTGGCAGGGTATATTGGGTCCTCTCGATAGGGCGTATACATC